CAATAGTATTGTGAAATAATGCAGTAGTGTTGTGAAGTAACGCAGTAGTATTTTGAAGCAATGCAATAGTATTGTGAAGTAATGCAATAGTATTATGAAGTAATGCAATAGTATTGTGAAGTAATACAATAGTATTGTGAAGTAATGCAATAGTATTGTGAAGTAATGCAATAGTATTGTGGAGTAATGCAGTAGTATTGTGAAGTAATGCAATAGTATTGTGAAGTAATGCAGTAGTATTGTGCAGTAATGCAATAGAAGTAATGCAATAGTATTGTGAAATAATGCAGTAGTATTGTGAAGTAACGCAATAGTATTGTGAAGTAACGCAGTAGTATTTTGAAGCAATGCAATAGTATTGTGAAGTAATGCAATAGTATTGTGAAGTAATGCAATAGTATTGTGAAGTAATACAATAGTATTGTGAAGTAATACAATAGTATTGTGAAGTAATACAATAGTATTGTGAAGTAATACACTAGTGTTGCGTTGGAATGCAAAGAAAAAAATCCCCCCATGTCCCCTCACAGGCTCTGTAAAAAACGACTTGTTTAAGAGTTATCAGGAAACATCTGAGTCAAATGTCCAGGATTGTCTTGTATCAACAATGCGTACACACAGAAATTTGCCTGTGCCAGATTCCATGCACATTAGGATGTATCAAAACAAACGCTGTGTGAAAGTGTTTGTGTAATTGTGCAAATTTTTCAGTTGCTGTGAGAATGTTCTGACTTCCATACACACATTTTTCTGTCAGCATTACGGACGTGAAGAATTGAAGACTGTCGGTCACAGATTGGTTATGGGATAGATTCACTGGCTGCGTCACAAAAACCTGATCCACCATTTGCAATGACAACACGACCGTGCCCTCTATTGTTGAGTCGCTTATCTTTTTAGGATCTTCTTCTTCTACTGTGTTTAATAGTGGTTGGTTTAATTCTCATTTTATTCAACAGATTTTCTGTCTTCAGCCTTTTCGATATTGTTTTTAAATAAGTGTGCAAAGAGTTAAAAGTGTGTTTGTGCTCCAGCTCCTGTATAAGAAACTGATGGGACAGCTGCTGGTTTGAGTCCTCCAGGGCAGAAACTGGAATTTATTTAGGAAGAACCACTGAGATTTCTCTAATCACTTTCATTGTTTGGCTGTGTTGGTCCTGATCCACCGGGCTCACACAGTTGTCTKTTATTCTTTCTACCATCCTCTGTTTGAATATATTCATCTGTTGGTTAGTTTCTTGGCCTAAAATCAAAAAGCCTTCATATGGAGTCACACAAAAACATTTTTTTCTCACAAAGGATATTCAATGGACCTCTGTTGTGCTTCTCTTCATTTCTTGACACAGAGCAGTCACAGACTGCTGACCCTTTCCATGTGGCACCTGAAGGCTTTAAACAAGCARACAATCACTGCAGAGTGATTCCAAAGTTAACTCTGCAGCTGTCAGGATCCACTCTGCATGGTGCAGAGTGTAAATAAAACATCATGCTGCACATGTCATAGAAACATTAACACATTTTAACAGTTTCAATGAGGCAAGTGTGAAGAACARTCGTTAGGTTTAATGTAAACTCATTTTTCATGCCAAGATTGTCAGTTTCACATAAAACATAAAGTTGTACAAGTGTTAACTGTTCAACATTTTGTTTTTAGACACAGTTGTGTTGTATTTTTCTCTGATGTTGTTAAGTGTAGCATCATGGAACATATGTTGTTACTTATGTTGAAACTAAGGCTGCCAAATGATTACAGCTTTTAATCTGTTTAATCACAGGGTAGCTGTGAATTAATCGCAATTAATCTAACTTAATTCATATTTCATTTGCATTTTGTTAAAATAAATTCCTTAGTAGGTTATTGAATGAATTCTAAATGTTATTCTTTAGAAAACACTTGGCACCCAAGAAATACACGAAACATAGCAATAAATTCTGCCACTCTTCTGGCTCTCGCCCTATTTAACTAAATGAAATCATATTGTGACATGAATATTAAATAAATAAAGTGCCTTTTTAAGCAGATTTGACCAAATAGAGCATCTCCATTTCTTAGTGCTTCTTTCAGCCAGATTCTGAGACAAACCAACTGGTTAACCTTTTCTGAAAGTAAAGTGGATCAGTTCTCGTTAACATTCTGCTGTGGGGAAAAGAGTCTTTCACAAGGACCTGTGGAGGCTGGAGAGCAGAACAAGCTTGTCATGGGCTCAGGAATGAGCAGCCCACCACTGCAGGGGACATTCATCCATACTGATGCTAGACTCTGCTCTGTACCTGTGTATGACTCTGTCTGCTCTGTATCAGAATCTGAATCAGAGTCCATCTGATGGTCATTTTCTTCCTGGGTGGGCCATCCTGAGACTTTCTGGGCGACTGTTCACTCAACTTCGCTGTTCAATATTTAGAACGAGGATCAAGTGCTGTCGCCAGCTTGAGTCATGCATTGTTGGTATTCTCTTGGTGTGAGTTTTCCTTGAATGCCATCTTAAATCTTGCCACCTTTGCTGGGTCCTCATAAGAGACTTCTATTATTACATATGATACAAGTGACAGAGGGCAGGCGGTACCATATGGAGGTAAATTTGTGTTTTTATTATTCAATCAAACAAAAAGCATCTTCCATCAAAAAAAATAATTTCAATCAAAAAAATTTTTTTCAACCAAACAAAAAATAAATTCAATCAAAATTAATATTTTCAACCAAAAACTTAGACAGTCAACCATAATCTTAGACAGTCAACCAA